TGAAAAATGAGACGCTTTCAGTCAAGTGGCAAAGATAGGTACCTTAAAGATTGAAGGAAACCTTTATTTTGTTTTTTTGGACGCTATCATTGTCAACGCTGAGAATATAAGTTAGGGCCGCTTCCTAAACTGGTGAAAGAGAGTAGCGTAATGAAGGACTTCAAAATGATGATGGACATCAAGAAATAAAAAAATACATCAAGGTAATTAGGGTCATAATTGTTGTATAAGCGTTGCAAAAAAAATGATGAATGATTATGGAGAGGCGAAGGCTAGTCAAATCAGGTACACAGTAATTTAGGAAAGACAAAGCAAACAATAACGGACATACCAGAATAAAAAAATATTATTGCTGTGCTCACAAATGGAATATTCCATTGAAAAAAATTGTACACATACAGTTTTTTGTGCAATACATTATTGAGTGTAAATTATTGAAGGCTCGAGTTTAATTCAGCGAGCCTTTTACTCGAACGCGCAGTATTGCATGGGCCAGCTATCTTCGATAATGATACGTCTGTTGACAGAGTTGGTTGCAATTACCACTGAAAATTTGTAGGTACGAGCCCATGCAACTCGACTTACCGTGTATTGCTTTTAATTTGATCTACGACCTCTTGACAGGCATGACCCATTTGGCGTATCACGTCAGAACAACGCAAAGAATGCTTTAACTCGTCTATGGAGCAGTAACTTCCTCCCTGCCTTTACTCTTCTTGTTTTCTCCCTCTCTCTTTCTCTCCAGTAGAGGTATAATTTAAAGACGTAAACAAGCTTGCCCGCATATTTGCTGCAAGAAGTATCGATTACGTTTTCTTCACGCATTCTTTAACGTATACTACAGAATCACAACAGTTGTATGCTACTTTTCAAGGATGACTAGAAAACAAAACAGAAAATCTAGCAACTGACGTCGTCGTGGAACCGCACAAAAAGTTGATTAGAAACAGGAGTTCTCGCCCATTTGCTGACAATCGCGGCGCGTTTGATTCGCAGTTAACGGTAGTTCCACAGTAAGATTTCTAGTTTTGATATGTGAATCGGAATGGCAAGCTGGGCGATTTGGTGAATAAACGTAACTTTCTTGTCTGTGCTCATTCCCCTGAGCCATCCATCCGGGTCGCTAATGCCCATAACAGAATTGGATTTGATATGTGGACTCCAGAGCTCACAGCATTCATTTGGTAAGGTAATGTTAACTACATCACATTTGCCACACCGACTTATGCGCAACGACACAGTGCAGCGTCAACGTATTTGATCACAATGTGGGCTACGCAAAGTGGTTATTTCATCAGCCCCGCATTGCAGGCAAACAAGTAAATGGAGTGTGTTTCATATGTAGATGATAAATCGACGTAGCCCACTATCAATTGCACGCCACGGGGTGGTCCTCTGGGAAACGGGAGCGACGTGACCGTGCCAGATCACGGAAAACACTGCAGTCGATGCAGAGTGGACGTTGGACTGCGTATATCATGCACTCGTGGCTGACGCTCGCTGGTGATAAATTGCATCCGAAACTTTCAGACAGACTGAGTAGAGGGTTTGGAAGCTGTGGGTCGCCAACAAAGCAAAGTGAATTGAAGTGAACTACGTACGACTGAGCTGAAATGGGGCACATTTTGGATATGGAATGTGTGATCGACCGTTTGTTTCACAGCAGATATGACATTGTAAAGTTAGATGGTGTTCGAGTCGGGCAACAAGGAGACTCTTCATACCGCGGAGTATCGAGAACGTTGGTGTTAGATAAACAAGATATAAAACTAAACAGAGAAACACTGACCAACTTTAGCCAAGTGGTGAGAAGGTTTAGAAATCGAGCGCTGTTAGGTTAGCTTTGGATTATGAAATTGTATGACACCGGACTCCACCTAGCGAAAGAGGGTGAGAGTACAGAAGCACCGTTTTCTCCATTGGCCTTGAAAACAGGGTCGTTTAGAGTGGTAGACTTGACAACAATGTGACCTCCTTTTATGCACCTTTTGGTGGTTGGTTGCGTTGGACTGTAAAAATGAAAGTTGGCAGGATGAACTTGGGAGTACAAAAGCGTTGTAGTAAGATAAATTTGCTGATATAAAAATATGTAAAGGTTGATTTACTCTTCATACGCTTATGGGCGTGTTTAACATGACTAGCTTTACTGTGAACGTAGTGAAGAAAGTCATAAAATGGACTCTGTTACTTTTTACAGGACTAGGTCAAGTTAAGCCTTAAACGTCTCTGTCTTATTTTTCGGTGATCTTGTATCATTGGAGATAAGCGTCTAAATAGCTTGTTTAAAAGGCTTTTTAGAAAGTGTGCGCGTTTAATTGATTCTTGTGGGCAAATATACGGAGGAACTAGCCATTATATTGTAAAAAAAGTGTGAATGCCAACGTAAATTTCTGTGTCGAGTCTCTATTAACAAGATAGAAGCTAAGAGCGATGAGAGAGGTATATAATATTCGACACGCATTAACCTCAATTATCTTGTGATGAGGACATATTACTCCATCCAAATATCAGTTCTTCTATTGTTAACCATCATGTAATGTTCCTTAAGGCCCACACTTTACGGCAAAGTAATTGAACGAACGTCAGCGACGAACGAGAACACCGCTTTACATTTACTAGGCATGACTGCCAGTCGCTGAAAATCACCAAGCGAGGTAAATCAACATGGAAATCAACCCAAAATTATCTGTCAGCCCCCACCCACGTGACGAACCGGCCTGTCGTTCTGTACAAAGTATGCCTTGCTTTATTGGGCGTTCGTCCCTCCACACTACTCAGGGCAGTGAGCACTTAAACTAGCCTTCTCTATGTTGCCGGAAACACCATGACCATTGACGCCTTAGTAGCTTCCGCAACACAGCCCCATGACAACCAGTGCGATCAGTGTTCCTTGACCTCTAACTTTAAAACGACCGCGCGCGACCATACTTACTTCAAAGGAAAAAAAAATGTAATTTGACCTTTTTTTAGAGTTATAGCTTATCACGTTGTGGCTATCGCTAAACTGACACGTGAACTCTCTCAGAAGATTATTATAACCTCGCACGAGACTGGGTTGGCCGAGAAGTGAGTTGAGTTGCCTTTTTAAAAAGTCATATACGTGGAACATGAGAACTCACAGAAAAGACTAACTCATAGTCATCTTTATTTTTTATGTAAGTGCTCACTTGTCGTGCCAGATGCTGACAGCTGCTGTCTTTCACAGTGCAACCACCTTTACTGACATTACTTTTAGTGTTAGCCAAATCTGAAATCTGAAAGCTTTACACCAGCAGTTTCGGGGCCCGTGAATTCTCATCTTGCAGTGTCTATAGTCATCATCATTACATCGCGTTCTCGAATTAGAAAATGTAAGAAAAAATAAAGTACATGACATTTAGAAGCTAATCACAAGCTAAAGAGGGTAGAGTGAGATCACAGGAAAAATAATTAAACAAAAATAAATCATTCAAGTCTTCATGAGCAAGTGAGTTTTTTTTAGACGTTAGGTATTAAGCCCATACTTCGATTGCACGGGAAAAATGTGCATTTTTTTCTCTATTACTCTAAGAGTATCGTGGTAAAATCATTCACCCATCCTTTTTCACTGTGTTTTGTTTGGGCAGCGTGTACTAGTTATAATTTGAATGTTAGCACGCAGTTTGATATTACGTCATACCCTATCTGATTCTCCGCGCTACGCGTTTGCTGAGATATAAACAGGGATTAAATTACCACGATTTTCTCATTTCTGTTTGACCATACACTTCAATGTCATATGTAGTGACCCCCCCCCCCCTCCCCTGAAAATAAAAAGAAGCAGGTGCTTAACGTCTGCTTCACTCGGTTAATGGATCAAATGAGTCTAGAAAAGCCGGACGTAGAAGGAACAAAGAATACACTGTAAGTGCATAGTAGGAAGCAGCATTTTCTACTCAACTTTACCCTCAGAAGCGATAAAGGTGCAACAACAGAGAGTATATAGGCAAAATGATAAACGGCGGAGGCGAAGGAGCAGCAACAGTACGCACGAAGGTTGAACGATCGAAATGCATGTATTTCCGTAAGCTTGATTCAGCGTTTTTTGAACGTTGCACCGAAAAGAAGTGAATGAGCATCTCCTAGAAAAAAAAAACCGCCAGAAAACAAACAAACAAACAAACAAACAAACAAACAAACAAAAAGCCGAATGATAGTAGAGCAGATGATCAAATGTTTTGCCGCTTTTTAATCACTGAGGTTATCTCTTACAGTGGTCACGGCGTAGGGAACAGCAAATGTTTCCTCATACTGAGTGAATGGATATATATTCCTTCCCCCCCCCCCTTTTTTTTTCCTCGGAGGTGCCTATTCGTTATTTTTTGGTGTAACGTTTGCAGAACGCTGATTTGAACTTATAGAAATACATGCATTTCGATCGTTTGACCTTCTTCCGTATTTCTTTCATCAAAAATAAACAGTTGAGCGTTCCTACTCATGTGCGAACTGTCAAATCTAACTTTCAGACTTACTAAAACTCTCAAATCTTGCTTTTCCTTGTCTTCTGTGCGCGCTGTAAAAGTTAAAATATGGATACATACCAACTCACAAGGCGATCAGTTTTACTATGATATGTCCCAGAACTTGCCAGAAAAAATGTGAAGAGAAAAGTAGATGCTTTATGTAGCTGCTTTCTTATTTTTTCATGTTAAAAACCTGCTTCAGGCTGTTCAACTTCTATCTACGTAATAGTTCATTCATTATAATAGATTAAAATAATAAGCATTTTTTTGGGTACACAGAAAACGTGAATACATAGATCAAACAGGGTGGTAACAGGCTGACAATTGCAACCTAAAGAGGCAGTACTACTGCCAGCTTCTTCGGCAAAAGAGAAATTAGAGGAAAGGAAGTAAGAAAGAATAAAAGCGGTGCGTGAAATGGTTTCCCGTCACTTGGACTTGACATCAAAGACTGCACATCCATACCATCATGTAGTGATGAAAATGATGCCAATGATGGAGTGACATACGTGCTCTTACCTTGGAGCGACAGGCAGCTGATAGTCCAGCAAAGAAGCCACCAGAGTGCCCTTGACTCGGACATAACCTGCCGTGCACAGGGAAGGTCTCTTTCACCTACACACACACAAGAAAACGTAGTCCGCTCCAGTGACTAGCGTGCAGTCTCCTGGACACGGAGGCAGGCAGGCACTTCTGTAATGCTTAACTGCTACGGTGACGGTCCACGTGGGTGAGCGGCTCGTCACGCGAGGACCAGTTGATACAAGACTGCACAAGAGTATCCGGGTACGGGAACAGGACACTTCACAACTTTGCCGAAACGCAGTTTCACGTCCTAAATTGGTGATCGTCGGGAAGAAACTTGCGGAAGTGGTCACAGCTTCAAACAGTCACAGCCTCGATGTACACTTTGCCGACATTAGAAAAAATAAAGATATGCAAGCCAAGCTCAGCAGGGGACAATTCAGCGTTGCCTTCGATGCACTAGTGCATGTTGTAGTGACGTAGCGCGAGAGATCTCAGTTATGGCGTAAAAGAGTGGTGATTATGTTCGAAAGCCAAGTACAACTGCATCAACGAAGATGGCTTCTTTTCGAAGAAATGGTGAAGCTCTGGCACCTCAGCCTGTCCAAGATCACATATTATCCTACCATGACTGCGAAGTTCACAGGATGTAACTGGCACAATGTTCACAGGGTGTTTCTACTGGCAGCGGAGATGACAGGGAGGGTGTGTGATATCGTAACCATGAAAACACGATACACGCGTTTAGTGAGGTTGAATAAGCTCTAAAAGGGAAGTAATAACGGCAAGGTCTGGCAGCGTGTGAATTTCAGGCTGCGAACGTACGTCGAGAATAAAGTTTGACCGCACAGGTGCCAACTTCGTAGACGACATTGCCGTGAGAGGTGACAGACGGCATCGCGTCGGCGACAAAGTTTCCGGAGCTGAGAGCAGCGGGCTTCGACCGGCGGTGAGGCTGTCGCTCCTCTGCGATGGGAGGCCGACGAACGCTGCCAGCGAAATCCGTTAGCTTCGCCGTCAGCGCCGCGACCTCTAACCAGGGTGCGTGTGAAGGGAAAGGAAAGCCCATCTGGCCGGCGCCTGGCGCCATCTATCAGTCGTGAAGTGCTCCTGCGCCACACGAAAGGCCTATTGTGTGCAGAGAGATGGTAGAAAGTTGAAGGTACATTAAAGTTGATGTTTCAGAGCCCTCAAGAGGCTCTAAAAAGTTTGTGGAAAAAGCAACTAAGCATTACTACTAAAATAAGCGGCCCAATACACGCAAACTTAAAAAAATGAAAGTACACAAAGTAAACGTGGCTGGAGAGTGAGTTTGTTCTTAATTATGATGAAGAAACGTACGAAAGCCTGGGAAAGTCCAAAGGGCTCGTTTTTCTATAATGTACGCAATTAAACTGACGTCAAGGATAGCATAAAAGTCATTGTATGTAGATTTTAAAAGGAATATAATTATTGTCACCCAAATAAAAGAAACTAAAGTATCACTTTTCTTCAGTGGTATGCGAACATTCAATCTTCAAATTTCGCGTCCGATGATGCTCTACCACTTGAGCAACAACGGAGTGGGCTCCCTTTTTACTTCTATTGGGCTACTTATGTGTTAGTAATACCTGGCAATGGTAATCAGCGCCAGTCCTATTCCAATGAGTGGGCACGGAAAACGTTTTTTTTTATCAGATGACGTTACAGAACCCATGTCCTTTGCACGTGAATCTGGCAGGGTTCAGAGTGTGTTCTGGTAGTGGATATAAGAGGTTGACAATTCGAATCTTGACGGTTCAGATGCCAAGAACAGAGAGGGTGATTTCCCATCGACATGAATTTGTTTTAGGTGAGAATCATAACAATGCATCTTGAACCACAAATTTTGTCTCCAAGGCATCTTTGGCTTAGTTGTATTTTGATTTCGTTAGTTGTGTACATCATAAGTAAACAGTAATATGCCCCGCGTGGTGGTCTAGTGGCTAAGGTACTCGGCTGCTGACCCGCAGGTCGCGGGATCGAATCCTGGCGGCGGCGGCTGCATTTCCGATGGAGGCGGAAATGTTGTAGGCCCATGTGCTCAGATTTGGGTGCACGTTAAAGAACCCCAGGTGGTCGAAGCTTGCGGAGCACTCCACTACGGCGTCTCTCATAATCATATGGCGGTTTTGGGAAGTGAAACCCTACATATCAATTAATCAAGTTAACAGTAATATGTCTTGTATGCCTGCTTGTTTACGTCGTGAAACGTTAAAGCTTTTGAATTCACACTTTTCAAACACGGTCAGAACGTTCTCAAACGGCCACCTGAACGTCATCAACTTTGCCTCGCGAGAATATAGTACCTTGTGTTGAGTGTTCATTCAGATGTAGTTACTGAGAACGCTTCCGAAGGTATGTGATTGCTAACACAAAATAGAAATTATTTTTAGATGAAGTGCCCTGAGAACAACTCATAGGTGTTGAAAAAGAATGCTACCAAGAAATGCTAGTTTTAGGAAAATTGTTAGCTGTCTTTTCTTCTTGAAAACACATCTACCTTAGTGACAGATAGACAGGGAGAAAAAGAATAATTATTTTCTACTCAGACATGTGCAGTACGGAAGAACTTGAAACCATCATCACGGAAATTGTAAACGTCTTCGAAAATATGGAGTTAGCTTTATTCGCTTACACGCAACCTATATTACCCCTAAAATTATAAAGTACCACTTTCCAAACAGGGTGGGATGTTACCTTTCTGCTTGAGCATTCGACGGCAGGTTTAACGCGCGAGAAATATTATATGACCCCTCCGAGCGACAGGGAAGAGACGGCTCGTTCGATCACTGCTTCCGTCGCGTTCATCGCCCCATCCTGTGCATTTACCCGTGGCGAGAACATACAATGCACTGAGGAATGTTATAGACCTGGAGTTTATACGAAACGTGACGGCGACGCCAACACCGACAGCAAGGACCCTTTGAGAGTGTCTATACAATCGATATCGCAAGAAAAGACTTCACAGAATGCCATGTTACGAAGTCCGTGCGTGACAGTTACGTTTCAGCGCTTAAGTGGTCGGTATAAGTGTTTTGAGTTTGTGTTTTCACCCGTAACTCCTAGAGAACACAGTCCCTGAAATAAACGCAACACATTCACGCACCAGGGAACGCAGTGGATATCGATATAAATGGGAGCTACTCGGCTGTCTCAATCTTTTCCGGATGAGATATAGACGGAAATCTTGCAGGTTACCGCAAGTGAGATGGATGCCTCCTTTTGATCACTCAATTTTCATAAAGCCCCGCAAAGCGGTCTGTTCTGATCGATCACTCCTTAGGGTGTAAGGCTAATTCAGCCGAGCACATCTGGCGTCGAACGGTTGCTACCGTTTACACCACTTATCACGGCACGCCGATCTTTGGCAAGAATAAACATCTGACACCCTTATGAAGAGACAGATATGACGGTGTATTAACCAAGGGCAGGCCCTCTATAGCTTGAAATGTTGCTCTCACAGAACAGATGTACTGTCATGAATATTGGACACTATTTTGATTTCCACTGATATTCTAACTGACTTATTACATACATTTTTTTCATTCTATAGTGTAGTGAGAACAGTAACGATAAAACACACACATCCAAGTTCCAACGGCATCTCCGAAGTATCTAGCACGAGGTTTTGAGAAACCCCCCGGATACTGTTCCTGTTTACTAATGCTTTTCGATACCATGCTTTTCGAATTACAACTAACTCCATCTGGTAAATGTACATCAACCGTTATGTGGGCCGTCTTAGTTTTTTAGTAAACTGAATTCTTTTATTTTGTAGTTCTTTATATATAGTACGAAATAACACATTGCACAGTGAGACGTCATATTTCTCGTTGAGTGGTTACGATGTATCACACATCGCGAATGCAGAAAAAAAAACATGGAGGACGCTTATCCTTAACCATCAAGAGTAGAACTAGATATGATCATTGAACCCTGTTTGGATAACTTTTTTCAACCACTACCCTGGTTTCGCTTCAAGCCTAAACCGTGCCAAAAGGAAAGTAACGGCTGTGCGCTTGTAAATCACCCACTTTCAAACTATCTTAGAATTCTAACTCCACAAACAGTTGCCTAATCGGCGTATATTTTTCCTTTTGAAGAGTTGGTGAGTTACCCACTACGAATTCGTGAGTAAGGCAACACGCTCACTTGCGCAGCTGCACACTTCGTTGTTGCTGATGTCGACAATATTTATTTCTGCCTATCTGCTTCGGACCTCATCGCCCTTTAAACGAACCACTCGTCACCCAAATCGCACGTTTTGACGCCTAGCGTAATTCTACGCTTCTTCCAAGGAATACTACATGCGTTAATGACGCTCCTCGAGTTACATAACATTCATTAAGTGTTTTCTTTGTTGTTGTTGAAGCAATTGCAAAGCATGTGCGTGGCTCTGTGGTGGGGGCACCTGCTCGCTACGCAGACGTTCTGGGTACGGTTTCCACACCAACAAAACACTTTAACATCGTAGATGTTTATAAAGCTGAGCGTTGGTCTCTAACGTAAAATCAGAAATTGTCACTATCATGAACCAGTGTGCTCTTTCCAGCGTGGCCCGCCATAACCATCATGTGGGAGAGCACGAGATGAGAGATTGCCTTTGATCTGAAGGTGAACGTCGCAACCACTCGGCCGTCCAGGCACGCTAGCGGTGACGGAGAGTAGATTATCCTTAGAAATTATATATATATATATATATATATATATATATATATATATATATATATATATATGACGCTATGATCACTGGGAGACGTGGCCTGGCTCATACGCCATGTTTATTCCGTTCTGCACTTCTTCTTCATCGGCTTCTACCATGCCTTCATACATCACATGATTCCCCCTCCCCCCGAAAGAATGCACGAGTTACAATCAACAAAACAACAAAAAGCATAAAGTTAAGAATGTCAAAATGCGCGGTAGTTCGATTTCAGGAGGCAGTTGCAGAACTCGCACAAAAGCTTCACAGTATAGGGCAGCAGTCCGGTCATATCTAGGGTAGCTCTGGTGGACGAGGCTGGCTGTTGTGCCCTGGATAGCATAACCATGTCTTCAGCGTTAAAAATGATGATGGCACAACCTGGTTAGTATTGAGGAACGAACAAGGTTGGGAGTCCTTGTAGCGTTGGAAGGTCGGATGTCTCATGCGTTGAAATCTGAGTCGTGGCTGCGACAGACGCTTTGCTTCTAAAATGCGTGCTTGTTGACAAATTGTGACGGCGTGATGCCTGTGGGCTGGCGGTATGCAAGAAGGGCTTCCGCATCTTTCTTGGCGTTTTCCGTGGTATTGCGGTCTGTGTAACTGCAGGCGCAGGGAGTTTCTCTGGCGACTTTCCTCTGTGCGAGAAAATTTGACGTCTTGGAATACTCTTTGGGTTAGAATTCTTATTTTCCGCTGTTCTTCAATTAAAGAGTATGATTTCGTTGAATTTTGCGTTCGTCGATGCCTTCGTTGCAGTCTATTTTGTTGTCGCATGAGGTTGCGCGCTTGGGTATGCTTGCTTTGCTGATGCTGCTCAGGAGATGGCTGTAGTGGCAAGCCTTCCGGAATGGGACATTCATTTACTTTGAGGTTTGACGCGTCCTGTAGACAGCTGATGCATGGTGAACAGGTTTCTTGCTCATCGGGCATGGTTGGTGGTGCGCCATCATTGCTAGCCTGCTCTTCAGAGGCTTCTGTGACGTGGTTGATTACGGACGCTTCTGAAAGACTACTGTGTACGAGGTTTGATGTATGATTTGCTTCTGAATTGGTTCGATTCTTGGATTGGTGACCACTGCATGAGGGTACCAGATGTGACGTCGCATCACCAGGTTGAAAATGCAAATTTTGGCAAGTCTGCGGTGCTGCGGAAATGAACTCTTGCGACAAAAAACATTCAGAGTTGACAGATAGTTCATCAAAGGCTTCTTCACGGCTCACTATGTGTGGTTCTTGCGCCTGGTAGCATGCGACGT